TTAATAACTGATCATCACATTGATTTATCAGTCTACTCAGGCTTTAGCAGAGCTCAGTAACGCTGAGATTAATAATTGATCACATTGATTTATCAGTCTACTCAGGCTTTAGCAGAGCTCAGTAACGCTGAGATTAATAACTGATCACATTGATTTATCAGTCTACTCAGGCTTTAGCAGAGCTCAGTAACACTGAGATCAATAACTGATCACATTGATTTATCAGTCTACTCAGGCTTTAGCAGAGCTCAGTAACACTGAGATTAATAACTGATCATCACATTGATTTATCAGTCTACTCAGGCTTTAGCAGAGCTCAGTAACGCTGAGATTAATAACTGATCATCACATTGATTTATCAGTCTACTCAGGCTTTAGCAGAGCTCAGTAACGCTGAGATTAATAACTGACCACATTGATTTATCAGTCTACTCAGGCTTTAGCAGAGCTCAGTAACGCTGAGATTAATAACTGATCATCACATTGATTTATCAGTCTACTCAGGCTTTAGCAGAGCTCAGTAACGCTGAGATCAATAACTGATCACATTGATTTATCAGTCTACTCAGGCTTTAGCAGAGCTCAGTAACACTGAGATTAATAACTGATCATCACATTGATTTATCAGTCTACTCAGGCTTTAGCAGAGCTCAGTAACGCTGAGATTAATAACTGACCACATTGATTTATCAGTCTACTCAGGCTTTAGCAGAGCTCAGTAACGCTGAGATTAATAACTGATCACATTGATTTATCAGTCTACTCAGGCTTTAGCAGAGCTCAGTAACACTGAGATTAATAACTGATCATCACATTGATTTATCAGTCTACTCAGGCTTTAGCAGAGCTCAGTAACACTGAGATTAATAACTGATCACATTGATTTATCAGTCTACTCAGGCTTTAGCAGAGCTCAGTAACGCTGAGATCAATAACTGATCACATTGATTTATCAGTCTACTCAGGCTTTAGCAGAGCTCAGTAACACTGAGATTAATAACTGATCATCACATTGATTTATCAGTCTACTCAGGCTTTAGCAGAGCTCAGTAACGCTGAGATTAATAACTGATCACATTGATTTATCAGTCTACTCAGGCTTTAGCAGAGCTCAGTAACACTGAGATTAATAACTGATCATCACATTGATTTATCAGTCTACTCAGGCTTTAGCAGAGCTCAGTAACGCTGAGATCAATAACTGATCACATTGATTTATCAGTCTACTCAGGCTTTAGCAGAGCTCAGTAACGCTGAGATTAATAACTGATCACATTGATTTATCAGTCTACTCAGGCTTTAGCAGAGCTCAGTAACGCTGAGATCAATAACTGATCACATTGATTTATCAGTCTACTCAGGCTTTAGCAGAGCTCAGTAACGCTGAGATTAATAACTGATCATCACATCGATTTATCAGTCTACTCAGGCTTTAGCAGAGCTCAGTAACGCTGAGATTAATAACTGATCATCACATCGATTTATCAGTCTACTCAGGCTTTAGCAGAGCTCAGTAACACTGAGATTAATAACCGATCACATTGATTTATCAGTCTACTCAGGCTTTAGCAGAGCTCAGTAACGCTGAGATTAATAACCGATCACATTGATTTATCAGTCTACTCAGGCTTTAGCAGAGCTCAGTAACGCTGAGATTAATAACCGATCACAGCAAGTGGAATCAAACCTACAGCCAAAGCAAAGCTACATTTTCTAACCGCCACTCACAGCAGAACGATTGCAGAGCCGACTGCAGAGCTCCTCAGATGCGCCTGCTGAGATCAGGCCGAAAGTGGCGAGCTGCTACTCTGTGTTAGTTGTATTTGGACTGTAATTGGTTTGAAGTGTGTGATCTACGATCAAGTTGCTTCATTCTCAGCGGTCCCACTTTACAAATGATTTTCTGTTACAGGGTTTTTCTTGCCGTGTATGAAAACACCAGCGTTGTTCTTGGCTCGAGAACTGGACCGCCGCTTGAAAACCCTTATGAACCTGTGACAACGGCCTGGCTGCTTTACAGCCCAGCTCTGCACTCTAGGATGTAGCACAGTTCTACAACTTTGATCATTAAAGTCCTCTCAGAAAGCATGCTAATTGTGCTAGAGTGGTTCCACTCTCGTTTCTTGGAGGGGAACAGACAGCTGTAAACATACTGAGGCCATAAAAGCGCCCCCATCGCTAATGCAATAATAATTGCGTTCTGTTTAACAGGCCTCCCTGACTGCTAGCATGTTGTCCGTGTTTTCCTGCCAGTTTTCTCGCTCCCACGGGATTAGTTTGGTCAACATGCTGAACATGTGCTCGCCGTGTGCACCCAAATGTGTCAGACCTCAACTCAAACCAGGGGCCTATAGATTTAACCCATAGATATGAGATCATGCTGTAATTTTATATGAATCATTTCTGAGTCGTAGCTCATTGAAAAAAAGTGAAGACGTTGTGTGGAAAGTCCAGATTCTAAACTTTCAATCCAGACCACATTAGTGTTTGAAAGTATTTTATCATGATTGGAATTTGATGGAAAGTTACTATAAAGTTCTTTTGTCAGTTTTAATATTGACATTTTTATAAAAATGTATTATAAGCTGTCAGTGTGTCTTTTTTATTGTTCATATCTTGCTGTTATTGTTATCTCTTTTTCCTTTGTCTGTAATGTACACAGTCATATGCAAAAGTTTAGGCACCCCTGGTCAAAGGACATTTTTTGTTGATGTTCTAAGTGAAAATAAGTTATCATGTCCTCTACAGAGACACACTTATGCACATTTTAATATACAATTACTGTTTATTTTGCCGAATTTAACATATTGAGGAAAAATAAAACATAAAATGTGGCATGTGCATAAGTTATATCACATTTCATATTTTAGATTATTATATAATACAATATGTTAAATTTAGCAAATAAATAGAAATTCTGCAAGTTTGTTGACTCACTTTCACATTTGACTGGGGGTGCTCAAACTTTTGCACATAACTATTTGAATATTTTGAACATTTTTATCGTCATCTATTATAATATATAGGAAGTTGTAATAACTCCATTATTTGCCATTTTTGACTTTTTTGCACAATTTGCAATTTGAAAACTCCAGTTACTTTTTGACGATGATTAATGTACAAGCATAAATCCAAAATTACTTAAATGTAATATATCGTCGCTATCCAAAGAAAAACAAGCATTTTGTACATTGTAAATTAATATTAAACACATAAAAACTATGAAAGAACAAGGAACACATATGGAATTATATAGTAAACAAAAAAGTGTTAAACAAACCAGAATATATTTTATACTTTAGATTCTTCAAAGTAGCACCTTTTGTTTTGATGACAGCTTTGCACACTCAGCATTCTCTCAGTCAGCTTCATGAGGTCGTCACCTGTACTGGCTTTAATTAGCAGGTGTGCCTTGTCAAGAGTTAATTTGTGGAACTGCTTGTGTTCTTAACGTGTTTGAGACCATCAGTAGTGTTTGTGGAGGCAGGGTTGGTACACAGTTCTATAATTCTGTGTAGTGTTCCTGCATAGTTGTGATGTCTTCGATATTAATCTACAATGTAGAAAATAATAAAAATAAGGAGAAACCATTGAATGAGAAGCAACTTTCTATTGGTCCACTCACTATGACATTTTCTCACAATATAAAGGGCAGCTGAGTTCAAATGATAAAAATGGAGATATATGCTTTTCTTTGGACAGCAATGGTATACAGGGTGATTCAAAAAGATTCATCCGATTTCAAAGCGCCATATTTGTACAATCATGAGTTGCCTAGGAACCAATCACAATCCAATTGAAAGAGGGGGTCATAGAGTTTCTGACTGTCAGTGGAAGATGGCTCCCTTCAGTCTGAGAGGAGATGAGACCCCTGAGCAGAAAGCGTTCTGCGTTCTCCACTTCAATAAGAGTGAATCCGTCATAACTGTGCAGCGTGATTTTCGTGGGCAGTGAAGCTCCAACATCTCAGAGCGTTCGTCGTTGGTTCCACAACACTGGATGATCTCCGAAATCGCACTGAAAGAGCCGCGAGTGCAGCGACACCCGACATGCTCAATCCAGTATGGGATGAGTTTGACTATGGTGTTGATGTTGTCTGTACAGCTGGAGGAGGTTCAGACTGAGACCTTGTACAATCACATAATAAACTTTATGCTCATTTAAACCATTTACAGTTCACTGCACTGATCTGTAATGATTTATCAGTGAAATAAATCATTTTTAATATGGTGATTTTTTTTGAATCACCCTGTATATTAATAATATATTAAATGTATTATTATTATTATTATTATAATAAATCCGAAGTGCAGACTTGAATCTGCTCATACAGAATGTAAACTGAATGGAAATGTAATCCATAACGTAACTATGCATTTAATTATGTACTCCTATCCTACAGTATAGCCAAACACCAGTAATAGCTGTTGCTTTCTAAGGTTAACCCCTTCTCTCCCTGCCCTCTCTCCGTTCACAACACATGAGAGAAATTTCAGTTAACAGCCGTGGCAACAGTTGGCTAAACCTGCTCCCAAAATGTTTTGCTTTATTTGCAGTCCACGCCTCTTTGCAGCCTTATTGCTTTTCTCCATTGTTGAAAAGGCCAAACGGAACAATGGCCTCTCTCACAGAGGCCTGAATAATGGGCAGTTAAAGCCTGGAAAGTGTGACGTTGACTATGCCAGGCTTTGAGGCTTTGCTGGCCATGCATGTGCTACTTATTAGGGCATTAGAATATCTAAACAAACACTTTCTCGGGGTCTCTACCAATTGAAGAGAATGCCCTTTGGTCTTCAATCCGAAACAAATCACGTGTCAGCTGAGTTATACCATCGTCAAGCCTAATTGTGGTAAATTGTTATTTGTTCAAGACAAGGAGCTCAAATTAATGACTGTTAAGCCAGAAAGGTTGTGTTTTCTCAGTCATTCCTGAAACAACCTGTCACTGAATAGAAGAAATGTGCCGAAAAGGAAATAAAGAAGAACTAGATTTCGACAAATTCAGTAAAGATTCTTTAATTAGTCTATAAATATTTCTTTTTTTTTAATTCAGCATACAAAAATGACAGTATGTACATCCACAGATAAGTGGTTCATGATGTGGCACTGCTTGTAGTATTGCTGTAGCAGCCGCGGTCGCCTGCACGTTGGATAAAAAATGTAAGGTACAACACGTAGAGTCCAAAACGTTCTTGGTGAGGATACAAAGGTAAATGCTGGTATTTTCTCATACTGGTGAACTACTCAGGCTGATACACACAGTTCCACATCCGAGAAGGTCCGTTTGGTCTTTTATTACTGTTCCCAGTCCAATAAATGCTTCTTTCCAAAAAAGTAAAGTACCATCCGAACGCACAAATCCCTCCAAATTCATAACTGGAATTCCCTTGAACACTCTCCAATTCCCTTGTCCAATTCCAGGTCGTTATTAGGAGAGCTCTTCCTCGTCGAAGAAGGTAGAAGGCACCATTACAGAGTATAAGAAAATATAGCTTGCGATATCCAAATACGAAAGCGTATGTATTCTTTGAAAACGCAACAACAACAAACTTTAGGACGGCCTTCGCAACAAAACCTCATTCGTATTTCGTCACACTTATGTCAACCGACGTTTGTTCGTAAAAAAAACGGAAAAGTCCAGTTCATGCAAATCAAAGTCCAGCTTCTGGGTCGGAGTTTTGTTGAGAATATTCATAAAACAAACCAAAAAAAATACCATTTTTCCTCGAAAATATGCAAGCTTAAGACAAATTTAAGCCTTCTCTGTAGTAGCGTAGTGCTTTGGTTATATCTGTGGAAGTCTGGAGTGGGTAAAGCTGGGTAAGGTCTGAAAGTCAGAGATCCAAAAAAAGGACTAGAATTCCTTGTGCAGAAATTCTATATAAAATCTGGATTGAGAGGAAGCGAAATTGCCAAACCCCGGAGCTCCGGCGTACTCTAACTTGCATCAGAACCCGAAGAATCAAAGGGCTAGCTGTAGGTTCTTCTCCAGAATCGGGGCGGTTCAGAAGGAGATCCGAATCATTTGCACACGTATCTCTCCACAGTCCTCTCGCACTTCTTGCAGGTGACGTAGCAGCACCAGTGGTATTTGCAGTGGCAGCGTTCAACCACTTTCTCGGTGTACGGATTGTAGCCTCGGCCGCAGCACATCAGGTCGCAACTGTCGCTGCCGCTGGACGTCTTGTTGCACTGCCTGGAACAGAGACAGAGGAGATAGAGGAGATAAGAGGGGAGGAGAGAAAGAAAGAGTTGTTTAATATTGAAGAAACTAAACTGTGGAGAGTTATTGATGTTTTTAAGCCTTAGAAAGCTGCTGTTATTGCTAGCATGTTCAATTAAACTCAGTTTATTACTATAGCACGTTTTACAAGCTCTAAACGAGCGTTACCAAGAGCGACAGTGGCAAGAACAATTCCCTAAGACCAACACAGCCCATTCTCCTCCAATACACATGGGAAAGCAAGACAATAATACGACACTACACTCTCAGAAATAAAGGTACTAAACTGTCACTGGGGCGGTTCCCCTCTTGTCACTGGGGTGGTTCCTCAAGGCTCCATCTCAGTACCTTTAGTCAGGGAACATAACTGAACCATAATCCACTGAAATGATATGTTCTAAGCTGTACTGACTCCACACACCCCGTCTCGTCTCCAGGCTTTTATTTTACTGTTCTGTTTAAAACATTCAGTTATGAAAAGGTACAAATACGAACTTTTCACCTGGAGAAACTTATTTAAGGTTTACCATCAGACCTTAGAACCACTGCTGTACTTGTAAGGGTACATATCGTCACTGTCCGAAGAAAACCATGTATCTCAATTTTTGGCGATTTTTTGTTCTCTACATAATTTCCACACACCAGTTGTCCTTTACGTTGTGTAAACATTTTATGACGCATGGACCGATAGAAATGCTCTAAAATCACTTGGAACATTTTTTTTTACATTGACTTACATTGAAAGGTAAGTGTTTTTACCCTCTCCTGTAAAGTTACTATTTGGGAGATACCTGTTTCTCATTGGACAGCGACGATATGTATACATATGGATAGACAGATAGATAGATAGATAGATAGATAGTCAGACAGACAGGCAGACAGACAGATAGACAGACACAGATAGACAGATAGATAGATAGACAGGCAGACAGACATATAGATAGACAGACACAGACAGACAGACATACAGACATATAGATAGATAGACAGACAGATAGATACTCTGGAGGCTAGGCAGATTCATTCTAGGACTCATTGTAGCCCAAACCCTCCAACAAAGGGACTAGATGTTGTTTATGTTGTTGTCTGTTACTCTGAGTTATGTGTACATGTTATTTGTGTTGTTTGGTGTCAGGGGCTGTGGGGGGGGGTCACTGTCGAGGTGAAGAGCAGGGCTATTGGTGACCTTCCCCACGGTTTCAGTGTCCTGTATGTGGCCCTTTCTGCCGGTATGTTCAATAAAGGGCACTTCTTGCAGCAGCTCATGGTTACTGCTGTGTTTCTTTTCCGTCAATGATACTATATATATATATATATAATTTCTATTGGTCCAATTATCATGAAGTCTTTACACAATATAAAGGACAGTTGCTGAACTCAAAGTATGCTGAGTAAAGTAAAAAACACAAAAAGTGGAGATACTTGGTTGCTTTTGGAAAGTGACGATATATGTATACATATATGTATACTAATGTAATGTAATGCGTATAATAAAATGTAATTTTATGTAATTCAATGTAAGCATTTCTATTGGTCCACTCATCATGAAATTTTCACACAACGTAAACGACAGTTGCTGTGCTCAGACGATGCAGAAAAATAAGAACTGAGAAAAATGTATGTTATTGTTTTTTGGACAGTGTGGATGTATGTGGACTGTATGAACTTTAACAACGTTTACATACTAAATTTAAAAAAGAAAACATTGGTCTTCCATCATAGAGGCCCATTCACACAAACTGAATGCACAGCGAAATGATAATAACCTCTTAGCTAGTTATTAAAACTCTTAGGCACTTAGAAACCTATACAGAGCTATAAATCTGTCCTTAAAACAAGCTCCAGACACACAAACGTGAACGAACGTGCAAGAGCTTCTCACAGGCCTGAGTATCCAGCACCTCTTCAGTCTGTATGTAAAATCCCAGCTACAGTAAAAGTCTGTCTCGAGCACCCATTAAATCCTCAACACCGAAGCTCCATAAAGTCCATTTAAGAGGCATTTGATTTGTATCCAGGGGAACGTTTCTGCCTGGTATTTCAGTCTAGCGGCTCTGCGTTCATTCGCTAAAGCCCGAGGCATCTAAAGTGAGCGGAGAATAGCCCTGTCATAAATCACACTCCGCCGGCCGCTCTCCGTAAGTGCATTGTTTTATAATTGTGTGGCGTTAATGGCCTGTGTGCTGAGAGAGGGGACGGCTGCTGGGAGCGAGAGCAGGAGGTGAAGAATGTCGTTATTTAAAACCGAGAACGGAGCTATTCCTAAAGTTAAACTGTCTCCCAGGCTCGCCACCGCAGGGAGAGGAGCAGGCGACAGGAGAAACGCGAGTACGAGTGCCGTGAGGGCGGCGAGCCACTGCATTAGCTGGCATTAGTGAGATGCTACACTAGCTGCAATTAGTGCAACCCAGTAGGCCAAATATTGAATAAAAATCATTATGTTCACAGGTTTTGATAGTATTGATGTGCTGGGAATTGATTTCAGCTAAGATTCTGTTTCGCTACATGCAACGTCCAGCTAATATAGCGCCTTGATAATTCCAGCTAATTTAGCATTTTGCAAATTCCAGTCCATGTAGCACATTTAGTATAGAACTTTGCTCATTGTGGCCAGTAGCGTCTTGCTAATTGCAACCAATTTAGCATCTTTTCAATTCTAACTAATGTACCTTGCTGATCCAACCAATGCTAGCATCTCACTAATTCCAACTAACAGAGTGCCTTGCTAACTCTAGCCAATGTAGCATCTTGCTAACTCTAGCTAGTGTAGCATCTTTGGTAATTCCAGCCAAACGTGTCTTGCCAATTCCAGCTAATTTAGCATCGTATTAATTCTAACTGAAGCACTGCCTTGCTGATTCAAGCTAATGCAGCATCTGGCTAATTTCCTGCTAGTGTAGCACCTTGCTAATCCCAGCCAATGCTAATTCCACCTAGTTCAGCATTTTACTAATTCCAGCTCATGGAGTGCCTTGTTAATTTCAGCCAATGTAGCATCTTGCTAATCCCAGCCAAAAGTGTTCTTGCTAATTACAATTAATTTAGCATCTTGCTAATTTTAACTAATGTAGTGCTTTGCTGATTCCAGCTAATGTAGCACCTTGCTAATCGCAGCCAGTGCTAATTGCAGTTAGGGGGCAGTCGTGGGCTGGAGGTTAGGGAACCAGCCTTGTGACCGGAAGGTTGCCGGTTCGATCCCCTCAGCTGGTAGTACATGACTGAAGTGCCCTTGAGAAGGTGTTTCACTGCACGGGCGGGTTAAATGCGGAGGTCTAATTGTGATGTGTTCAGACACAGTTGGCTAAAAGGTTCATTTCATTCATTAAATGGGACTAAGTTTGCTCTCTTTCAGTGTTCTATGTACACACAATATGTTCAAAAGAGCATATTGTGTTATATATTCATCTATTGTAACATAATTGATCATAATAATGATATATATTATCATATTGCCCAGCCCTGCCTCCAGTTTTACAGTTTTTGCACAGAAAAATGGCAAAATCTAAACAGCTTTCTATTTAATGTGTTGAGTTACAGCAAAACGAAAAAGAAAACACAGGAATCTGTATTAAAAACGAAATCTAAGTGTCCTTAATCGTTTGCCGTGCGGTGCAGACGAACCCTTCTGAATCAGTTTCACACTCTGCAGCCGTAAAACCACACGTCAAATTCGACTCTAAAGTGGAAAGACATCTTTTAACAGCCCTCCTGCTTCCTGTGGAGACCACAGCACTCGTTTCAGCAGAAATACAGATCATCGCTGAGCCGCAGGGAGATGTTTCAGACTCCACTTTAAATACGTTCCTTATATTGAGGAGGATGTTCGGCCGGGCCCCAGCGAGGCTCGCACTGAGGAGCTGAGGAGGAGATGAGATGTGCTTTCCTCCAGCCTCTCAGTCACTCAGGTCGAGTTGTAAGTCAAATTCTGTCTGTTTAAATATCAGCTAATAATTTTAGTACCTCCTTCTAAGGGAAATTCCACCATTTTTTTAAAAATTACTGGTGAAACAGAGTCGTTCAGAGTGGTTTGGTGTGAAACGCTCCATTCTAGATAAACTTACCGATTCAGAACTGTTCACAGTGGTGGTGATAGGAACCAGACATCCACCTCTAAAAGCTCCCTCACAGAAAGTTCCTACATGAAATGGTTATGAATTCACTGCCTGATGACTGAGACACTGTTTTATGATAGTTTTGAGAAGATTTTGGCCTTAGACTCCAGTCATGGTGGCGGGATACATAATTATGCAGGGTGTTGTGAGGCAAAATAGTCCCCAAAGAAAACTTATTCACTATTTTCCATCATCAACATTCCATATAAACTCAGAAGACTCGTGTAGGTTCACTGGAGGTTTTAGATAGTAAATAAAATGTCTATATCTGTGTCGTAGTCATGGCGACGCCTGGTTCCTATCACCACCACTGTAAAGACATCTGAACCATTTCACACCAAACCACTCTGAATCACTCTGATTACATCTCACACACTGAGTTATGCAGGAAATTTAAAATGGGTGGAATTCTCCTTTGGCCTAAAATGTATTTTTAAAGTCCTATGACTATGCCTCCAGCCCCCTGAGACCCCCACAGAGACGGCCGTACTGTCACACATGGCACCGTCGACACTGCTGAATGATTAAGAGAGGCCAGTTTGTCTTGTGACTGAGAGGGAAGCGCTAAATATACGAGCCGTCAGGATCTCTATCTGCGCTGAGTGCACACGACACACTGCACGACTTCAGCTTATCAGGGAGACTAAAAGAGGCAAATTAATGGACTAATATGGGAAGATCTACACTCCACAGCAGGGAGGCGCATTTTTGCTATTCGTATATATTCTCGCATGTTTTTACATGAAAAGTGTTTAAAAATCATAATGAGAGAACTTTTATTTTAGCAGCTGGAGGTGCTTCACTGTTTTACTGCTACTCAATATGGAGAAATAATGACTTATTTTCTCAAAACAGTAACATATTCTCCATTTTATAATATCTGTATTTCAGTCAATATTTCAGTATACCGAGTCTCAAAAATCAGTCAGTATTTTGACATAAATAGCCTCTATTTTGACATAATAAGACATTATTTTGACATAATTCGTCATTAGTTCTTATTTCCCACCATGGACGAAATTAAAAGAAAGCCGCATAAACTCTTCTGCAGTACCACTTGGGCCTGATCGGGTCGGGTCTCAAAATTGGTGGGTGTTGTGGGGGGGGTTTGGGGTTCAGGCATTCATTCGGGCCTGTGCAGACCTCTACACTACATCTAAACCTCAGACTTTATACGACCCTCATCTGGCAGAGCAAAGCAGGTATTATTATTATTATTGTTTATTTATTGTTAGCTTTAATCTCAGCCAGTCGTTTCCTCTGAGAGCTGAAATCAGCTGAGAGCTTCTACACTCCCTGAATAACAACATTACTGAGATAACAGGAGAGAGAGAGGGGGAGGAGGAGAAGGAGAAAGAGAGAGGAGAAGAAAGAAAGGAAGGGAGGGAGAGAGAGAGAGAAAGAAAGAAAGAAAGAAAGAAAGAAAAAGAGAGATTAATGCTAAAGAGCAGAAACAGAGAGCTGGACGTGCAGTAAAATAAACAGGTCGTGTTATGTGAGACATTTCCGCCGCATTTGGTGACAGTAAATATCTGTGATTTCAGAAGAATGCAGAGAGTTCAGAGAGTGTGCAGAGTGTGCAGAGAGTTCAGAGAGTGTGCAGAGTGTGCAGAGAGTTCAGAGAGTGTACAGAGTGTGCAGAGAGTTCAGAGTGTGCAGAGAGTTCAGAGAGTGTGCAGAGTGTGTACAGATTGTGCAGAGAGTTCAGAGAGTGTGCAGAGTGTGTACAGATTGTGCAGAGAGTTCAGAGAGGGTGCAGAGTGTGTAAAGTGTGCAGAGTGTGTACAGAGTGTGCAGAGTGTGTAGAGTGTGCAGAGTGTGCAGAGTGTGTAGTGTGCAGAGTGTGTACAGTGTGCAGAGTGTGCAGTGTGTACAGTGTGCAGTGTGTAGTGTGCAGAGTGTGTACAGTGTGCAGAGTGTGTACAGTGTGCAGAGTGTGCAGAGTGTGTACAGAGTGTGCAGAGTTCAGAGAGTGTTCAGAGTGTGTACAGAGTGTGCAGAGTGTGCAGAGTATACAATGTGTGCAGAATGACTTTCTAAAATGTTCTAAAACTTTGTCGTTTATTTCAAGGTTTAAATAAAAAATACCAGATTTTAATGTACTCTCAGACGTCTGAACCCCACTGTGTGTGTATACGGGTCATTCTACATTCTAATGTCTATTTTTGTGTCCCTGGCGTTTACAGATATATTAAAAACATGTTAGGGTTACAATTAATTTATATTTTAAAATAAAACAATCATTTATTTTAATTACACCTTCTTGAGCCTCAATTTAGCAATACTGGTTTTTAAATCAATCATATAGAATTCCAGGCACCACAGAAGAGCTCGTCCTCACAGTCATGTGTGAAGGCTGAGGCCATATTTTGAGGTAGAAAACATGTTTTTCTGCCATTTGAACTGCAATAATCTAAACATGACTATGAAATATATGATTTAAATGACATAAAGAAAACAAATGCCAAATAAATATTATAAAATATTCTGCTGTTATCTGAAAGGTGACGATGAGTTACTGCACTAAAACATCTGCATTTTGATCATGTTACTGCATGTGTGACCCTACAGAAATAAATGTTACATGTTTCTGTAATGCTGATCCAGATTTAGTCCTGATTTACACATTCATACAGGTTTATGTATCAGCATCAACAGACTGATTAAACATTTTGAAAAGCCATATATTCACAAACAGGCAGAGTACTGGTGACTTCAAACCACAGAGCCCTAAAACCGTAACCAGTAGTCAGTCAGTAAATCAGTCTGGTCTGTTCTGAGCTGTTCAGACTTGTAGCGCCGAGCCGTAAACAGGTAATCAGGTAATCAGGGCTGTAAATCTCTGACCTCCATTCCATTCACTTACAGTTACTGAAGAAATGATTAGATTATTTGGATTTGATTAAGAATTTCACTTATTTTTGTAAATTTCTGTGTAATTAAATGATTAGCATGTGAACAAAGTTCATTCAGAGTGGTTTGGTGTGAATCACTCCGTTCTAGAGAAACTTACAGAGTCAGAATTGTTCACAGTGGTGGTGATAGGAACCAGACGTCCACCTCTAAAAGCTCCCTCACAGAAAGTTACTACATGGAATGATTGTGAATATGAAATCATGCTTTTGCTATAGTTTTTGGAAGATTTTGGCTTTTAATCCATTCATGGTGGAGGGATACATAATACGCAGGGTGTTGTGAGGCAAAATAGTCCCCAAAGAAAACTTATTATTTCAGATTTTCCACTATTTTCCATCATCAACATTCCATATAAACTCAGAAGACTCGTGTCGGTTCACTGGTGGTTCTGGATAGTAAATAAAATGTCTATATTTGTGTTGTAGTCATGGCGACCCCTGGTTCCTATCACCACCACTGTAAAGACATCTGAACCATTTCACACCAAACCACTCTGAACCACTCACACACTGAGTTATGGAGGAATTTTTTTAAAAATCGGTGGACCTTCCCTGTAAGGTGCACCTATTGCTGACAAGCATTCACACAGCTTGTATAACTTCCACAGAAAAGCACTGACCAATTGAATGGGACGCTCTGAGGACAAACCCCCTATTAAGACCCTTCATTTCAGAATGATGTTGTCTCCCAGTGCCCCTCGGTGTCTCAGTACCCACCTCTCCTGAGTGCCAACCGAGCCCAGTTTTTCGTTCTTTGTGCAGAAGTCAGGTGAGCTCTGCAGGTAAACCAGCTCGTTCTCACGCACCGGACGGATGTCGATGTCTTTGGGCACAAGCTGTTTGCGCGTGCCCATCGGCCGGTGGACCACCTTGGTGGCCGACAGGTACTTGGCCTTCAGGTCCATGGCGATTTCCTTCAGGTCCTGTAGCCCTCTCCAACAGGTGCGAATGGAGCAGGAGCCCGAGACACCGTGACACTTACACTTCATCACCAGCGCGTCTTTCAGCACCTGAGGAGAGAGAGAGGAAGGGTTTAGTACAGAAACTGAAACCAGTGTAGGTGAGTCTCAGTGCAGAAGATTAGACTTCATCTTTGTTACAGGTGAGTGTGGCGACTACTATAATAGGTGACATCAGCAGTAATTCTGATACAGGTGAGTTTTAGTGTAACAAGTGAGGTTTAGTGTAACAGCTGAGCTTTAGTATAACAGGTGAGCTTTAGTGTAACAGGTGAGCTTTAGTGTAACAGATGAGCTTTAGTGTAACAGGTGAGCTTTAGTGTAACAGCTGAGCTTTAGTGTAACAGATGAGCTTTAGTGTAACAGGTATGGTTTAGTGTAAGAGACGAGGTTTCATGTAACAAGTGAGGTTTAGTGTAGCAGGTGAGGTTTGGTGTCACAGGTGAGCTTTAGTGTAACAGATGAGCTTTGGCATGACGGAGGTGAGGTTTAGAACTGAGATGTAGTGTAACAGGTGAGGTTTAGCGTAACAGGTGAGGTTCACTTTAACAGGTGAGGTTTAGATCACCAGTTGAGGTTCTTTGTAACAGGTGAGGTTTAGATCACCAGGTGAGGTTCATTGTAACAGGTGAGGTTTAGTGTAACAGCTGAGGTTTAGTGTAACAAATGAACTTTTACATAACAGGTGAGCTTTAGTATAACAGGTGAGCTTTAGTGTAACAGGTGAGCTTTAGTATAACAGGTGAGCTTTAGTGTAACAGGTGAGCTTTAGTGTAACATATGAGCTTTAGTATAACAGGTGAGCTTTAGTATAACAGGTGAGCTTTAGTATAACAGGTGAGCTTTAGTATAACAGGTGAGCTTTATTACCTGCCGCCCCACTTCGCTGTTGTGCAGGTGCATCAGTTTGTTGGCGTGTGAGCCGGGCTTCTTCTTCATCTTCATCGGCGCGTCTGAGAACTTTGAGCCCATGAGGAGGCCGTAGTGCAGGTTATCCGCGCAGCCGCCCCACCTGTACCCCGGCTCAGGTATCTCACCTGGGATTGGGCCACACGTGCACAGCCTCAGGTCTCCGGTCGTACATGCCCGCGCTATGGTGTGACTGATAGCGGCCGCAGAGAGAGCGTAAACAAACGCAGACTCCCTCGTCCCTGAGAGAGAGACAGAGAGAGAGAAGGAGAGAGAGAGAGAGAGAGAGAGAGAGAGAGAGAGAGAGAGAGAGAGAATGAGAATGACTGTGTGTTCCGTCTTAGAGTGTCGCTCAGCCAATCAGATTTTAGAACCAGAACTATATGTCCATTTTTGTGATGTCACACATTTACCAATGCATTTACATAGACCCACCTATTCAACCTACAGCAGTTAAGCCCCGCCCACTCGCACTAAAGTTATAAGGAGTGATAAGCAGTCCAGGCTGAAACACTCTTTAGAACTTCAGTGGGAATGGGTGGGGCTAACCAGGCGACTGCTTTCTGAATGAGGCGCAGCCAATCAGAACAGAACATATTTGCATATCAGTTTTAAAGGCGCAGAGTATGTTTAACTCTAAAAGATAAAGACACGGTGGAAAGTGATCATGTAACGAATAGATTATGACATACAACCATACAAATATCATAACAAAATAAATAAAATACACAAAAAACAGGGAAACTCAGACAAATGGAAACAGACTAGCAGAGACTGTCAGTCTCTTCCAGAGAGAACAAGCTTCAAACGGCTTCAGCTAAATCCAGCATGACTAACACTTAGGTCACGCTGGTATAAAAGCCCTCAGCGCTGGACGCCACACAGTCCAGTTAACTCTGTAGGTGTTCGTTTAATTGGTGATTTTGCTGCGCAGCTTAACGTCCCAGTGTATTCATAACCTTAATTGTGAGGCGACGCATACGTAATGAAACCACAAACGAACAAAAAAATGCTTGATTTTATGGCTGTAGGTGCCTTGCAAAAGTTTATCCTGCCATTAAATTACATTCAACTAAATAACTACTAACTTACTAACCCTAAATTCAAAAGAATACATTGGCATTTTTCAGCCTCTACACTGCAAAAAATGGTATCTTGTCAAGTAAATTATCTTATACTCAATAAGTCTAATATTTCTCCTGTTAAGATTATTGTTTATTAAGCTTAATATAAGATTATCTAGCTTATTTCTTGACATTTTTTACTTGTTTTAGGTAATTCTGAGTGAAAGTATCTCACTATATTGGCAGATAAGTTTGCTTGTTTTAAGAAATGAGCTTTAAACCAGCAAACTTATCTGCCACTATAGTGAGATACTTTCACTTAATAAAATTACCTGAAACAAGTAAATAATCTTATAATAAGTGTACAACCATCTCAAAATGGGAAATATTACATGTAGCGACTATATTTAAGATCATTTCACTTGACATGATGCTATTTTTGTAGTGTATCAGCTGCATTTGTAGCATATCGCTGCTGTTGGAACAAAACCTTGTATCTCCAAAATGGTAACTTTACAGGAGAAGGAGAAAACATACTTTACTCTTAATGTAAGTCAATGGAACCAGATGTCTTTCCAAGTCATTTTGGGTCATTTCTTTTGGTCCATTCATCATCAAATTTACATACAATGTAAAGAGAAACAGGCCTTTTCAAATTATGTCAAAAACTGAAAAACGTCAAAAATGGAGATACGAGGTTTTGTTCGGACAGCAGTGATACATTTGAGAGCAGACTCAAAATGCACTTATAATGGAGGTCAATGGGCGGTTGCTGAGACACCGTCCCATTGGCTTCCATTATGGTCATGTTTTGAGTCTGTGCAGGAAAACACTAACTATTGCTTTATCAGATGTAAACATGCCCACTGGCATTTTCCTCCGACAGCAGGAAAATCTCTACAGAAAGATTTTAGAGTTTAAAGACGACTAAACCCCCTTCTGATGATGCAGCTTGAAGGTGGAAGGAACTTTACAGGGCAATGTATGCTGGGTATTGTACACACTTTAAGAAGGTGGTTCTTCAAGGGTTCTTTAGTAAAGAAAATGGTTCTATATAGGACCATGAACACTCAAAGAACCTTTTGCATGATTCTCTGTATCGTGAAAGCGTTCTTCAGATTGATGGAGAATGTGCTGTAAGTTGTTCTATATAGCACCAAAATGGTTCCTCTATTGTAACAAGCTTGACATGGTAACGAAAGAAGAACCCTTTTTGGTGCTATTTAGGACCCTTTTCAAAAAAGTTCTATATAGAACCATACACAACAGATTCTCCATCAATCTGAAGAGTGATTTCACAATGCAAAGAACCGTTTGGGTTCTTTGAGTGTTAATGGCTCTATATGAAACCATTTTCTTTACTAAAGAACCCTTAAAGAGCCATCTTTTAAAAGCGAGTAGTGAAAGAACGATGAAGGTTGAAATGCATATTAAACCATGAGATGCGGCTGAGGGACGCAATTTGCGCAGAATATTACTAAATGTGACAACATGTTAAAGTTTTTCAGTTTTAGGTTGGACTGCCCCTTTAACACTGCTGATAATCGACTGAATTGACCCAGAGAGTTTATTATCAATGTGAAGCATTTACAGATAGTCAGTGGTCCTTTAGGGGTTCTTTAGTCAAGATAATGGTTCTACATGGAACCATGAACACTCAAAGAACCCTATGGGTGTGTGAATGGTCCTCTGCATGGTGAAATGGCTCTTCAGATTGATGGAGAATGTGTTGTAGATGGCTCTATACAGCACCAAAAAGGGTTCTATTGTTACAAGCTTGACATCATAACAACAGCAGAACCATTGTTGGTGCTGTATTTTCAAAAATATACCATATACAACACATTCACCTTCAATCTGAGGAGCCATTTTTCCATGCAGAGAACATGCAAATGGTTCTATATAGGACTCATGATTTGAAATCGAACCATTGCCTTTACTAAAGAACCCTCGAAGAACCACCTTTTTTAAGAGTGTATACGAGGGATCGGTGCCTAGAAGTTGGAGTTTGTTTACAGATTTCTACAAAAAGAAAAACACTTTACTGTAGGGTACAGTTCATAAAGCTACATAAGCTTGTCACGATAACTGACATAGACCTACATAACTGTTTATAAATGCTTATTCCATTAGACGTCATCCACTATAAAGGTTACATTTGCCAATTTTGATCAGTTAGCTAAAGTAGCCTTTATGACAGATGATGTCTATTGGAATAAGCATTTATAAACATTTATGTAAAGTTATGTCAGCTGTCACGATAATCTTATGTAGGTGTCATGTAGCCTTATGAACTGTATCCTACAGTAAAGTGTTACCAAAAATCCTTTATTTTTGATATTTTCTTGTCACTGAAACCTAATAAGCCTTTTATGACAACTGACATAAACCTGAATTCAGTCATACGCCAAAAGTTTGAACATGTCCAAATTACACGTTTTGCTGACTATTATATATTTTCTATAATACACTTATAATACATTTATTACTATTCAAATGTGCTACCATAATTACACAATTAATTAGCACAGTGAATTTCAGTCACACTCGCGACACCAGTTACGTAAGCCTTTCATGACAACTGACATAAACCTACATTATCACTGATAAAGGTTTATTCCTTTATTTATTTTTTATACTTTATACTAATTCTACATCAGCGGGCGACGCTTGTTGAAATAGGCCTTTATAAATGCTTACAAAAGTTCAAAAAGTGGTCAAATTCTATGTTTTTGTTGATTTTCTCAGTAAAAAATAAGTTAGCATATTTAAATATGGCATTTATTTGCAAATTTTTGTGCGCAATTTATTTTCTATTTAACATACAGGAAAAAATTAAAACTTGAAACATAAAATCTGTTTTTACTTTTAAACAGACCACATTTTTGGTTTATTTTTTCCCCCAATATGTTAAATTTCAGCAAATAAACAGTACTTGTGCATTAAAATGTGAAGTATGGTCCCTGTAGAGGATGTTAACGTCATTTTTTACTGAAAAAACATCAACAAAAAAATAGAATTTGACCACTTTTTGAACTTTTGCATACGACTGTAAACACGTAAAAAGGCTTATTTTAACAAGCGTCACTTGATGATGTGAAATTACATCAAAGTATAAATATATAAAAGAATAAGCCTTTATAAACCTTTATTTGCATTGTCAGTTGCCACAAAAGGCTTATGTGGCCTTACGAACACTGCCCTTCAGTAAAGTGTTCCTGAAATTCAGTGTAATTAATTGTGTAATTATGTTATCACATTTGAATGGTAATACATATTAAATGGGTTAAATGGCTCAGAACTACAGAAGCGCAGATCAGCTTCCACTCCTGACCGTCTATCTGAACCATCGCTGGGCAGAATGGGTTCTATTGTTACGGAAAACAAGGATGCTTCACACTCCTCATCAAACGCGCTCTTTTTTCAGATACAGATGAGAAGATGAAGCCTTTTATCCTGAAATGAAGAGCAAACAGGACGACAGACTTCTGGTCAGAGAAGAAAGAGTTTAAAGGCCGTCGTGGGCAGCCATTAAAACTGCTGCCCTTCCTCGTAAACTTCGACCTCAGGCAATTAAACAGGTCCCTCTGACCCACTGAAAGCTGAATGGAGTCCACAGTGCAGTGGGAGAAAACGTGGGTGGTCACTTTAACGCCTTTAGAACGGCCGCCAATGGACGCGAACCATTTAGCTCCTCAAACGACGGGATTATTACTCTGTTATTAACTGTGATGGGTGCTGACCAGCTCAGTATACTAGGCTACTCAGTTACTCAGTTACACATCATCGCTGTCATATCAAAACCTCGTTCATGTTTCATTTTTGTGCACTATTTAAAAACATGAGCTGGTCTCAACATTGTGTGAGCGTTTCAGGATCAGTGAAACCCACAAAAATGATCAGTGGAACCATCAAAAATGGCCCTAAATTTACATTTCTGCTTTTATTATGACAGTGACAGTAAACTTGGGGCCCAAATCATGCAAAACCTAATTATTCTCAATATTTTTAAAAAGATAAATGAGTTTTATGCAGTATGTAAACATTCCAAAGTGTACACTCCTAAAAAAGATGGTTCTTCAAGGGTTCTTTAGCAAAGAAAACGGTTATATATAGAACCATGAGCACTCAAAATACCTTTCGCATGGTTAATTGGTTCTTTGCATTGTGAAATCACTCTTCAGATTGATGGAGAATCTGTTGTATATGGTTCTGAATAGAACCTTTTTGAAAAGGGTTCTATATAGCACCAAAAAGTGTTCTTGTTAAGATGTTGAGCTTGAACCTTCTTTGGTGCTTTCTGCAATTTTAACTACAATAATCTATACATGACTATTGAATATATACATTAAATGATATAAAGAAAACAAATGGCAAATAAATATTATAAAACATATAATGAAAGTTGTCCCCAGGAGTCGTGTCACTGGTGTTACTGTGTGACAAAAAATCTCTTATTTTGAAATAAAAGTCACACTGATGACATCACTCGACTTCCTTTTACCTGTTTTCTGAGGATCTATGAAGAAAAGCTCATGGTGAGTCCACTGTGTCTTTCAGTTATCAGAGATTTTCTCATTTAGCTCATGATTTCATATGAAGCTTTTAGCTGAAGTCACTGGTGTGACCCACTTTATTCTGAGGTAACTGTGAAAAAACAATATAAATGGATTAAATTCCATATTTTAGTGGATATTCCATGATTGACGACATGTGGTTTGATGCTCTGCAGCAGTTATTTAGTAAAATGTGTTTTTCATTAAAATGTCTCTGGTGTTCCTTTATTATGTGGAACACCAACGAGGATCAGTAACACCAGTGACTCCTATGGAGAGACAGAAAAGTGGACGTTTCTGTAGAATGACCCATATAGTGTTTCTATAGCCCCTCTCACTGCTGAGATCATCCATTTTAACCATGTTTGTTGCTTCCAAAGACACTTTAGCGCAGATCTGTACACAATTCACAACCACAGCTGCAGCTAAAACCAGCATCTCATCCTATAAAACGTGTTTTGAGCTCCATCAGTTTCGCAGTGCGTGCTTGTCTGGCTCACCTCTCTCCAGGTCAGGGAGGTATTTCGGAGCCTCGATGGAGGAGCAGTTCCAGCGCATATCCGCGAAGGTTTTCTGGCACGTCTTCTTGACCTCGCGCGCCGCCTGGACGAAGGTCTGCATCAGCTCCAGATTAGTGCGGCACAGCTGGGCCTGAGAGGACACCAGGCCGGGCAGCGTCTTACACTGCTGCGTCTTATTGATGTGCTGAGTCGACGAGGATAAAGCCCTGGAGCAGAGAGACGAGCCAGAAATCAACCTCAACATTATTAGGAACAAATAATCAGGCCAAAATAACAGAAACACAGAAACAAAGCTTTGGACATTGTGTAGATTAAAGAGTGTTAAAGGGGAATTCAAACATTTTTTTTTCAAAATTCCTGCAAAGCTGACTGTGTGAGATGCAAACAGAGAGATTCAGAGTGGTTTGCTGTGAAATGGTTCAGATGTCTTTACAGTGGTGGTGATAGGAACACAAACTCAGCGGTGGCGATGTGGAATGTTGATGATGGAAAATAGTGGAAAATCTGAAATAATAAGTTTTCTTTGGGGACTATTTTGCCTCACAGCGCCCTGCATATTATGTATCCCTTCACTATGAATGGATTTTAAGGCCAAATCCTCTCAAAACTATCATATCAGACATCAGGCAGTGAATTCATAACCATTTCATGCAGTAACTTTCTGTGAGGGAGCTTTTAGAGGTGGACGTCTGGTTCCTATCACCACCACTGTGAACAGTTCTGACAGTGGAATCAGTGGAATTCCCCTTTAATGGATAATTTAGACCAAACTAAACACTTAAACAGCTTCAAAATGACCAGCAACACAAGTAAGCCTTTTACCCCTTAAAGGGGAATTCCACCAATTTATAAAAATTTCATCATGACACTGTCAATGTTTGAAAGTCGAATGCTGTGCAATTATGGATTTCTTTGGGTGAAATTAAATACTTTATCAGCTTTACAACAACTGGCAAACGGCACAAACGTTTTAACCTCTTATACAGCACAATTTTCATTCTGTCATTAAGGTTTAATTACTCTTTAATTGTTAAAATAAATGAATTTGTATGAGCTGCATGATTGTACAAATACAGGTTCATGCAGCCATGCTATCAGGTTTTACATCACTGTTCCAAAACCTTGTAGGCCCATTTTTTAAATCATTTTTCATTATTTTATTTTTTATTTTATTATGATTCACCAACATTTCAAGACAGTTAGACCAATGGGAATGGCCCAAAAGTATTTGGGCCAAAATTATTTGTTATAATAACTTCCATTAAAAGTAAAAAAAAAAAGTCACCAATATAGTTTCTGTTTTGTGAATATGACAGCGAATCATTCATGCCATTGAAAGTGAACGGAGATTCTCCTCTTTAGCTGTGAGAGCAGAAAATTAGGCAGTTTTAACACTGATTGTCAGTAATAATGCAGTTCGCATGTGCATAATGTGCATAATTGCTTATATGCATGAAAACATGCATACAAAGTTTGAACATTGCCATGCAATTGCGATTTGTTGATTAAGTTAACATCCTCTACAGGAAATAAACCTAAATATGCTAATTTAAGTGCAAAATTTCTAATTATTTACTGAGTTTAACATATTGCGAAAAAAATAAAACATGAAATATGTAAAATGTGCAATCACTTTTGCACAGGCCACATTTTATCTTTAATCTTTTTCCACAATATGTCCAGTTCAGCAAATAAACAGTAACTGTGCGTTAAAATGTGCAGTAAAGGACATATTTTCACCTAAAAAAATTCATCAAAATCACAATTAATAAGTCATTTGACCCAGGGTGCCCAAACTTTTGAATATAAATATATGTATTAATATGCTTATACAGCAGATTGATACTGAAACTACACAGACAGATAATAAACTGAGCTGCTGAGTAGAAGGAATGTAGAAATGAAAGCAATAAAAATGGAAAGTTCTAATTAGCAGCTCTTAAAGATGCAGTGGAGCTGAATTGATATTCCATATGGTCCAAAAAAAAATCCATATATTGCAAAAAAAATCCACATCTGTGGCCGCAGCGAAAACGCAGACAACATTTCATCATGTAAAATATGTTTTCTCTGAACGCTGGCCAAAGGTAATTTACTAGTAAAACTATTCTTGCATGTCTGACCCAGAGCCGAACGGCGAGAGACGCTTTTTAATGCGGCACAAACGAACGCAAGCGAACACTGAAGCCATCTCGGGGAACGATCTGTCAGGATTAGATATAAACGGAGGAAGAAGGGATTCTGGCATCATTTAGCAGCCATCTCTGGCACCCTGTGGAAGGAAAAAAGGAACAAATACTGATCGCCAGTGGAAAGAAAGACTCGCTGGCCAGCACATTTGGCCGGAGTTGAAACGGCGGCGACCGCAGAGTGGCGAAAACGTGAGTCAGAGAACGCCAACGGCTTCATTCGTCAACACATGGAGCGCAGAGAAATGCAGAGGAGCTCAAACTGGTGGACGTGTTCGGGACGCAGCTCTGAACACACGTAAACAGCACAGAAGTCAAAAGCACAAAGTCATGTTGTAGTTTTGTTCGAATTGTTTCTGACTGAAACAAGCAGAGAAACTGTGTGGAAAGTGCAGATTCTACACTTTTAGTCCAGAACACATCTGCGTTTGTGAGTTTCAGAGGAGATATTTTATTATGATTTGAATTTGACAGTATGTATTTGCTTGTTTGGCACAAAGAAACACCAAGTTTTATCATTTTTTATCATTTTTTGGTGCCAAAACAAACAGAAGAACAGCAGTACAGACTCTAACTCGTCCACACAGAATGAAAAACGAATGTTAATGTCAGTCTTGATGTACTAAGTATGTAATTAATTAGATAAACCCATAATTACCCAAAATTAAATGGTTAAATGACTCTAAAGGGACCCTGTTTTGAGCATTGTTTAGAACAAAGAAACTAGCAAAACGTACATGACGCAGCTGTTTTTGAACCATATAAACAGTCTAAATTGTTCTTCATGTATTAAGTATATAATTAACTATATAAATCCATAATTACATGTAAATTAAATGGTTAAATGACTCTAAAGTGGATACAGAGACAAACCGTGTTGATCCTATTTTTGGTATATTCTTAAAACAAACAAACAAACAAACATAAACTGGTGGACGGACATACAACGTGCCTGTTTTTGAAACCAAATAAACAACAAAAACACTTTCAATTTCACTCTAAAAGTGGTACAGGCGCGGGTGAAGTGCAGTATTGACCTTGATCTGTGGTTTTGAGTACTTTATTAAGGCACTGCAAAACAAACAAACAAACAAACAAACAAGCTAATGGCCACACGTGGAGCATGGCTGTTTTTAACCACAAAATAAGCTTTAAATTTAATCTCAAAGCAGATAAACTGCAATGTATGTGGTTGGACAATGTCTACAGCCATTAAGCAACCATGCAAACAAACAAACAAACAAGTGGACACACTGTGTGGAATGTAACTGTTTTAAATCACTAAGAAAACTTTAAATTTGACACTAAAAGTGACCTAAAAGGTTAAAAACTGCCCTTAAAGTCTGTGTGACCCTGTTTTCAGTACTGTTTTGAACAAACAAAGAAAGTAGTGAACATTCATGAGACGAAACTGTTTTTGAACCATCTAAACAGCAAAGCAACGTTAGATTTATCCCTTCAAGCTGGTAAACTGAACGGCCTGCCTTGCTTTCTGGCGGCATTTTAGAACAAACAAACAAACTAATAAATAACAAGCAGTAAAAACTCAAAAGCTGCCGCTAAAAGTGGCTGTTAAAGGGCAGATAAACTGAATTGTCTATTGTTGACCCAGTTTTGGGCTTTTCCGCTCGTTCACAAACACATGCGGCAGCGTTCGTGAGAACCCGCGAGTGCCTCTTGCACCTCAGCCTGTTTCGGATTAGGGACGAGGGGCCGCTGCTCTCTGCCCCATGATAAGCTGTGACCCTGCGCACCCCTCCGTTACCCGCCACTCGCAGGTGTTTATGGCAGCATGTGTTTTGTATTGTGCCCTGAGCGTTACAGTGGCTGTGCGAGCCCTCCAGCTTTTCCAGGTTATCTGGTTTAATGTTCGGCGTATCAGACTCATCTACAAATCCAAGTCAACACTTCCATTTCAGAATGAGCCACAGAACAAATATGAACACATTTTGCCCAAATAACACATTTAAAGCAGCTACTCTGTTAGAAATAAAGGTTCTGTACATTTCTCATTCATCAAGGTACAAACAATGTAAATGTTCCCTCAAAGCTCCAACAGTGGTTCTAAGGTCTGATTGTGACCCTTAAATAAGTTTTTTCCAGGTGAAAAGTTTGTATTTGTTTCTTTTCATAACCGAATGATTTAAACAGAACAGTAAAATAAAAGCCTGGAGACGAGACGGGGTGTGTGGAGTCAGTACAGCTTAGAACATATCATTTCAGTGGATTATGGTTCAGTTATGTTCCCTGACTAAAGGTACTGAGATGGAGCCTTAAGGGTTCCACCCCAGTGACAAGAGGGGCACTGACCCAGAGACAGTTTAGAACCTTTATTTCTGAGAGTGCAGAACTCAACAGCTGAACCATCTACACTGAGGACGAAGACGTGACAATTTCAGCGTACGTTTATTTTTTTCTGCTTTTTAAAAGCAGCACCATATGTGGCAGCTGAGGGGGCGGGAGAGGTTTAGAGGGGCGGACGGAGATGGTAAATTCTAATTAAACTCAAATAAATACTAAATGACAAAAACAACTGCTGAGATTCAGAAAACAATCCTTCACTTCACTTATTTTACTATGAAATTTAAAGTACTGAAGCTCAGCACTGAATTTTCCAAAAAGCAAAACTTCAACAACATTTAAAAGAAGTGAAATAACACATTTCCATCAGTGGATACGGCACTGGGGCCGTGCTCGTAAACTAAGGCTGAACGATATGGACAAAACACCATATTGCGATTATATTGCTACATTTTGTGATTGTGATACACCCTGCAATATCAAAAAATCAGGAAATTCCAAGGCACTATCTTTTTTAAAACAATTAAAAACCAACTAAAAGCCCGCTGCTGTCATTTTATCGTCACATTAAACCTTTAAGAACTCAGTCAGCAACAAGCCTTTATCAGGGAGTCAGGAAAAAAAGACATATATTAAAAAATGTTGATGTGAAATTTCTGCATTATTTTGATCAAACTCATTTACTTTTGATAGATTCTTCTACTGTATCACATCAAACAATACACTGTGTTAATTAGAGAGCTTATTTGCATACTGCGTATCGCAAAAGCCAGTACTGCGATAACAGTAAACAAACATACACTGTACAGCCCTACTGTACTGTACAGCTCAATTTCTTTGAAGGCTCATTTACATATTTCAGCCTACCTGAACTGCAGGCCAATACTGTGATAATGATTAACCAGCAATATACTGTACAGCCCAACAAATGTACTAATCAGACAGCTCATTTGCATATTGCAAGCTCAGTGTGGCAAAAGCCAATATTGTGATAACAGCTAACAAAAACAGAACTAGTGTAGAATAAAAATGTATATAACGAAAGGCTTATTTGCAACTAGTGTCACAAAAGCCAATATAACGATAACAGATAACAAACAATATATGGTGCATCTCTTGTGTCCAATAGAAAATAGCTATTAGCAGGTTCATCTGCATGTTGTAGCTTTCATAGCAGTGTTGCAAAGGCCAGTGTTGCAATAACGGTTAAAGTATCTCACATTCCAGTATTGCGATACAAAATTACTATATTGTACAGCACTAAAGCGGAATGAAATGTATTGATTAAAGGGCTTATTTGCATATTACGGTTGCAAAAAACCGATATTGCAATAATTACGATTAACAAGCATCCCTACTGTACAATAAAAATTAGCTATAAGTTTAGAACCTTTATTACTGAGAGTGCAGAACTCAACAGCTGAACCATCAACACTGAGGACGAAGACGTGACAATTTCAGCGTACATTTTTTTTGTACCATATGTGGCAGCTGAGGGGGGCGGGAAGGGTTAAGGGGGCGGACGGAGACGGTAAATTATAATTAAACTCAAATAAATACTAAAGGGCAAAAACAACTGCTGAGATTAAAGGGCTTATTTGCATATTACAGCCTATCAGCACTGCAAAAACCGATATTACAATAATTACGATTAGCAAACATCCCTCCTGTACAATAAAAATTAGCTATAAGAGGCTTCATTTGCATATTGTAAGGCCACAGGATGATACTGCAAAAACAATTAAAGTACTGCAGAAGCCAGTATTGCGATTAACAAATGATATATTGCTCAGCCGTAGTGTTATAACTGATATATTGCTGCTGTCGGAAAAGAAAACCTTGTATATCCATTTTTGTCGTTTTTCAGTTTTTGACATAATGTGAAAATGCCATTTGCTCTTTACACTGTGTGTGAATTTCATGATGAATAGACCAACAGAAATGGCCCAAAATGACTTGGAAAAAATCCTGGTTCCATTGACTTACATTAAAAGTATAGTATGATTTTTCCTTCTCCTGTAAAGTTACCATTTTGGAGATATGAGGCTTTGTTCCGACAACAGCGATATATTAATAAACGATAAATCGTGCAGGTCTATAGTTTGAGTACATCAACATTAACTCTATGTGTGGAGAGAAAAACAGAAATGTGGGACACTCACAGCCATCGGATTCCCGAGCCTTGCTGGGACACGAGCAGGAGCGCCAGCACGCAGAGCGAGAGCGAGGGAAACATCCTCTTCACGCTGCTAAATCAGATCCAACTCGGTCAGAAAGAAAACGGTGCAGGTGCTCACGCAACACTGTCTGGCTTCAGCAGCTTCTTGGCATTCAGTCGCAGTTAAAGGCCAGAGGCCATGGCACGGGCTGCTCCTCTCTGCACCTCTCCCGCTGCGGAAAACAGCAAAATTAAGGCTTAGAGCTCATTTCACACCCACGCTCCGGACTGACGGTCGCATTCGGAACATGACTGTAACACTTAGCACACTTTTAGGCAGGACAAAGAAATGCAAAACACGTGCAAATCATTCATCAGGGACTTACGCGTTTACATTTGCATGAAAAAGGAGATCCATCTGTGAATATTTCAATAAAATGTGTTTTGATTTGTTGTTTTATACAAATAAAACAAGAGAATTTCTGGATTGTTATATATAAATTTGTTTAAATGTTATTTTTAAAATAAAAAAGCACGCTTACTGTTTAAAACTTAGTGAAACGGAGTAGATCTCGCAGAGTGAGGACAGATTGCACATTTTCACAAGATTAGGCTTTAAAATTTAAAAATTTTAAATTTAAAATATAGATCTACATAGAATAACTAACTAATTCCTAACTAAAGTTCACACAGTTTGCATTTTTACATTTTCTTTAAATCTGAGCAGCTAAAAAAGAGCAAAAAGTACAACTAGCATGAATGTTCAGCGTGTAGAAGTGCATACTGGCACAGAGAGAGAGAAAAGAAAGAGATAGAGACTCCAGCGGCTGAAGCCTCACCTCACGCAGCATTTAGGCCACATTTATCACCGTTAATCCTGTGGAAACCTAATTATTAACCTTCTTAATCGCAGATATACATATATTTCTACCATTATGATCATGTTTTTTGTTATATTGCTGTTTATTGAGTCTAAATCTGTGTTTTTTGTCTGGCTAAATGGGAGAATTCCTCGTAAGCACTCACTCTAAGAGCTATAAAAGGTCAGATTTGGTGCTGTTTGTGTAACTAATCCAGATTAAAACTGTATTTACATGCATTTTAGTGATTTAATCCACTGTATGTGTTCAACACTATAGATTTCCCAGTGCTGACCCGACTGTAGAGCTCCACAAAAGAGATTTTCGGAGGTTTTTCTGACCTTTTCTACCAGAGAACCTCGTTTCTGGCCTTTTCGTGCACTTTCTTTCCACCGTGCCCTCGGGAGCTGCTTCAGATTAGACAAACAAACGAGCATACGCCTAAATTTAATCTCCTGCTCCACTTCAGGCATGCAGCCTAAACAGCCAGTGAAATTACAGCCCAGTCACTTCACAGCTCGCTGTGAGCGACCTAGCACTTAAAAAGATGGTTCTCAAGGGTTCTTCAGTAAAAGGAAGGGCTCTGTGGTTCTAGATAGAACCATCTGCATGCTGAAACGGTTCTTCTTATTGACGGATGATATGCTGTTTTTGAAAATGGTTCCCAAAAAGGGTTCTGCTGTGCTACAAGCTTGACATCGTAACCCTGTTTGGTGCTCTGCAGAACCATTTTCAAAAAGGTTCTATGTAGGACCATACACAACACGCTCTCCCTCAGTTCGAAGAACCACTTCACCATGCATTAAAACATTTAAGCATGCAAATAGCTCTCTGTATGACTCATGGCTCCATACAGAACCGTTCCATTTACTAAAGAACCCCTGAAGAACCATCAGTGGAGCTGGATAATATGGAGTTTCACACTTAAAAGGCTCTTTAAAAAGCTAAAACTAGACCTAAAGCAGGTAAAGCATTAATATTTTGCTTTTTTCTGTATGATATGGAGCAAAATGACTCATAACTCTTTTCTAATTGAATTATAAAGTTGAGTTCTGTGTCTCAAGTTTGAACTGGGTTATGCATTATCCTCTAACTCTATAAACACGAGGCAGGATGACCCAAAGTATCATTCTAACAGAAATTATACGATAAATCAATCAATTATTTACCGCCACGCTTTTAAGGAAAAGTTGGAGCGACAAAAAAACAGAGAAACGCATTTTTGACTCACCTTCACGAAACTGAAGTAGGTCCAGCTCCAGGCTGAGGGAGACAGCGCCGCGGGGAATAATCCAAAAACAAAAAAGAGTCTAAATCGAGTTAATCCAGCTCGAGAGAAGCTCCAGCCGAGCAGAACTGAGGAGAAGCGAAAACGAGCATCATGTGGCGAAATCCAGACGCGGCTCGCGAGCTTTCCTCCCCACTTTCTGTCTCTCTTTTTTGCGCTCTGTCTCGCAGTCTCGCGCGTCCCTTGCACTGCATGCAGCTGAGGAATGCGCTGCACTGACTGGCTCGTGCTCTGAGCGCGCGCGAGGGAGAAAGAGAGAGAGAGAGAGGGAGAAGCAGAGGGCGTGCGTGCACGAGCAAGAGAGCGAGCGAGTGAGTGTGTGAGTGCGCGAGAGAGCGTGTGTGCAGCCCTATATGTGCCCGCGCGCCGCTTTGATCCTGCGCCCTGACGTCACGCGTGATTACCATATCAAAGCAAACTCGCGCTTCTTCTGCTATTCGCGTTTTTTTATATAATTGATTATGTTTCGATTTGATTTCTGTGTTTGTTGTTTGTTTTAAGCTCCTGTAAATTCCAGGTTGCACTAAGAATAAGTAAAACCGATGAGTTTAAATATTTATTCCTATTTTTATGAGGGAATTTTTAATGCAGTGCACTTTTAAATGCAATATTAAAACATAAAAATATGCATCGTGTGCATTTTACATAAAACAGCTGTGTTGTATTATTTACAAACGCTTGTAGTTTTATTAAAAATACTCTAAACTTTACTGCCTCTCCTAAAGCAAATCTCATGAAATACAACACATAAAACGACAGAATGAACAGAAACGACAACTTTATAACGATATTCTTTATATAAGCTTCTACTCGCATTAAAAACAAGTCATTTACTGTACTTTACAGGGTACAGTGTTTACTGTAAACACACAAAACAGCTTAAAATGCAATAAAAACAATACAATAGTGCAATAAACAAATAACACACACTCTACTGCACATGCGCATTATACGTTCAGCTGTTTGCATCATGTTAACTTTTTCTGATTATTTTGTTTCTCACAAAAAGAAATAATAGCTTCTCGCATGTTCACGCATTATACATGCAACAGCACACACACACACACACACACACACACACACACACACATATATATATATATATATATATATATATATACACATATACACATATATTTTTGTTTTACATTAACTTTTAAAAATGTATTATTTTATTTATTTATATTGTTTTGTACTTACAGAACTTTCCGTTGGGGACTTTTTTGGGGAACTCTCTTTGGACATAATGGACTGTACATTAAAATGCAAATACCAGAAAATACAACAAAAAATAAATTGGCAAAAAAAAAAAATGACATACACACATGCACATTTACATTATGCAATATGTTTGATGTGCACTATTTATTTATTTACTTGTTTTTTACTTACTTACTTACTTATTTACTGTATTTATTTACTTAACCGTGTTTTATTTACTTATTTACTTACTTGTTTACTTGTTTATTTGTATGTCGTTTCTAAAGGCTTATACTGACATTAAAAACTAAGAAAAAGTATCTTTTTTGTGCATTAGAGGTGAAAATCTCCATAAAATCACACCACAATTTAAAATGCAATAAAAATACAACATATACAAAACAACAACAACGCACAATAAACATAAATAACATTTTCTAATGCACACTTACATTATGCATTGTGCATTAATAGTAAACCTTATTTATTTATTAGTTAGTTAGTTAATTAGTTTGCTTGTTTATTCTGTAAACTTACATTAGCATAATTTAACTTGCACTAGAAAAAGGTATAGTAAACTTTACTGTCCTTTAGACCAAGAATCCCTTTAAATAAACACAAATGACTCAGTGTAGTGTACACTCTAAAAAAGATGGTTCTTCAAGGGTTCTTTAGTAAAGACAATGATTCGCTTTAGAGCCATGGGCACTCAAAGAACCATCAGCATGCTTTAAGGTTCTTTGCATGGTGAAATGGCCATTAATCTGAAGAACAATTTCACCATGCAGAGCACTATTTAATCATGCAAATGGTTCTTTAAGTGTTCATGGTTCTATCTGGAACCACTGTCTTTACTAAAACACCCTTGAAGAATCATCTTTTATAGGAGTGATACATTTTCCCTATACATTATACTCTGGTGTGGTTTATGGTATCAAATGACTGAAGTGAATGAAGCCCGTCAGTATTTTTTATTATGTTCTTGTTTTATTATGTGCAGAGTGAGATTAGAACTCAGAACTGAGAACTCAGAACTCAGAGCTCAGAGCTCAGAACTCAGAACCCAGAACTCAGAACTCAGAGCTCAGAACCCAGAACTCAGAGCTCCACACCTCCATTCACACACAGCAGCACACATTACAGCTCTAATTAGCCCATTAACGCTCCAGCCGAGCCTCCTGTTCCCTTTACAGCTCACACAGAGCTGCTACTCCCCCATTAAGGAGCGTGAGCTGCTCCGCTCTGCCTTTATTGATGATCTATCAGTATCAATACGCCGCTTCAGGAACTCATTACAGCGCTTGATGGCTGGAAGCCGAGTTGAGGAAACATTTTTATAGAGTCAGTGATGTGAGTCCAGCCGTTTTACTGATCTCTGAACTAAATGGAGCAGCTAATATTTTTCCCATCTAAAGACAGAGTCGTCTTACTCAGAGAGAGAGAGAGAGAGAGAGGGAGAGAGAGAGAGAGAGAGAGGGAGAAAAATAAGAGAGAGAGAATAAGAGAAAGAGAGACAGATATATATATATATATATATATAGAGAGAGAGAGAGAGAGAGAGAGAGAGAGAGAGAAAGATAAGATAAAATAAAATGAGAGAGAGAATGAAAGAGAGAGAGAGGGAGGAAAGACAAAGAAAAAGAGAGATACAGCGTAAGCACAGTGAGAGGAGAGAGGGAGAGAAAGAGAGAAGGGGAGAGATAAAATGAGACAGAGAGAATAAAAGAGAGAAAAAGGAAAGATAAAAGATAAAGAAAAAGAGAGAGAGACAGAGTAAGCACAATGAGAGAGAGAGAGGTAGAAAGAAAACAAAGAGAGAGAGAGAAAACACTGAGAGGGGAGAGAATCAAAGAGATAAAGAGAGAGACAAAATAAGAGAGAAAGAGGAGAGAAATGACAGAGAACGGCCCAGCGTGACCTTGCGTGACCTCTGAGCGTGTTTCTGGTTGCGGCTGATTCGGTCACAGTTTTAAACGCTTTACTCGGATTAGACGTGTGAAAGGCTGCGCTGTTGGAAACAGCGGACACGACTATTTCTGCTTAATTAATTTAGGGGATAATCTAATAACGCAGGCCTCGTCCACAGTTGTCACTGCGGAGCTGAAGAGTCGAGGGTTATATTTAGACTCTCTCATGTAAAGGTAGAGCTTTACACCAGCCAACTGACCAAACACTGATAGATGACCTCCACTCCAGAGTTCGAGAAGATGTTTGTAGTAATTCCATCTATCTGCGCTATCAGGCAGGCCCGGATCACCCCGGGGGTTTTGAGGGCGCATGGTCTAGGGTCCGAGCCACTAGGGGGCCCCTGTGAGCAATCATGATCAAATCTGAAACAGCTGTTTTGACTGGGAACTTTGTTAGCAGCACAGCAAAAATCCTAATCCTAATACATCATAATCCTGAGGCTCTCCATGTCTTTCCTCAACATCTGCTTCATTTCTCCTCCAATCACTGCTTAGCAACTGTTCCACTATGGTTGCATTCACATTACAAGCCTCGTTGCTCAAATCCGATTTTTTGCTCAAATCCGATCTCTCTGACAGGATGGTTCACGCTCGTTTAGGTAAGTGATTCAAATCTGTCATTAATGTGACGAACCGGTGTCCTGAAATGACCCTCATGAGCTCATCCTACTCAGTAACGTCACGTGAATGAATCACGTTCATCATCAGCACAAACTAACGAGCAGAACGAGCTTCGCTGAGAAGATAATTAACTCTGATCAGCTCTCAGCTTCATTATTAGAGCGAGACGAAGGAGAAAAAGGTGAGATGAGCTGCTTTTCCACCGTTTACAGGCTTTAACTTCTGTTCGGCGCTGCTGCCATGGTAACGCTGAATGATGGCGCAGCGCAGTGGAACAAAAGCACATGAATTCCGATCTGAGTGTCACATTAAGGTCATATGGCCACGAATCGGATACGTATCTGATCTAGGATCACATATGAAAGTGGCTCAGGTCAGATTTGAAAAGATCAGATTTGTGTCCACACAGCTCTGAAAACATCAGATCTGAGTCACATTAGGGCAAAAAATCAGATTTGTGCCATTAGCTCGGGTCAGCTTTCAGTTTGTTAGCAGTGAGCTAACCTTAAGCTGCTTTTCCAATGTATGGTACGGCTCGGCTCGACTCGACTCCACTCTACTCGCCTTTTGGTATGAGCTACTAGATGTCTGCATAGGACTGTTTTTTCAGTCCTGCTCCCGCTGAAAATTGATATTATTTATCCTGCTTCTGCCCAAAGACGAAACGTTTTGTCCCGCTCCCGCCCGCAGTTCTGTCAAGCTGATCTGACAACCACTATCTAGTATAGATATATATATATATATATATACAGACACAGTCTATTCACAAACACATTATTCTCTGCTGAAAAAACACAGCAGTCGTGGTCATCAGGCTCACTGTGAGTAACTTAACCAAACGCCATTTATTCAGCATTTTGGTTTGGTTTCCACCACTTTGGTTTCCACCACTAACCGTCCATCATTGGTCAGTTTCTGACCACAGGACCACTGCTGACCAGATATTAGGGACTTTAAACATTGTCAGATATAGGAACAGCTACAGCAAACAGAAATAAATCTGAGCTATCATGGTAGCTGTCCCAATAGATATTGATGATTGAAGTCCCTAATACCTGGTCAACAGTGGTTTGATGGTCAGAACCTGGGCGGAAATGGGCAGGCTAGACATCTGTCACGACAAGTAAAGCTTCTAAAAGCTCCCTCATGGAAACTTATTACATGAAATGGTCATGGTGGAGGGATACATAATATCAGGGTGTTCTGAAGCAAAATAGCCCCCAAAGAAAACGTATTATTCCAGATTTTCCACTATTTTCCATCATCAACATTCCATATAAACTCAGAAGACTCGTGTAGGTTCACTGGTGGTTTTGGACAGTAAATAAAATGTCTATATTTGTGTTGTGGACACAGAAGAGATCAAACGATGGCAGAGAAGAGCCGCTCTGTACTGTCTATGGCTCTGTTTAAAGAGTGGAACTGAACAGAGACAGACAGCAGAGAAAATAACACACACACACTTCAGTGAAGGTGTAAAACATTCAGTAACACTGGCCTGTGAATGGCTGTGACCGCTGTG